GGGGTGGGGGGGGTGGGGGGGGCTCAATCTGAGCCCAGCAGGGTGGTATTTAAGGCTGGCACACAGCAGGCTTTCAGAAAGTGGCTCTCCTGAGCGCAGCAGCCCAGCCCCTCTGGTTCTTAAGGACCTCTCTAATTGCACTTAATTACGCTGGTCAACCACTGCCTGGCGGGGGCCATCCCTCCGCAAGGGCTGAGCTCAACTGCGGCGACTTGACTGGCTCAGAGTCCATGAGGAGCCAGCTGGCCAGGGTTGCTGGCTGCTCTGGCATGGTGCCCTCCTGTTTGCATAGAGATGGCTCCATTTAAAGGCACTGGGGTTCTTTATGTGCCCTCACTGAGCAATTCGCATTGAAAGGCCCATGACAAACTTCAACAAAAAGGGGTTTTAACGCTCTGCTTTAGAAGCTTTTTGACCGGCAAGGGATTTATTCATTCATGTAATGACAGTCTGTAGGGAAGTAGCACTCTTAAATGAGCAGGTTTCTGTCTGGGCTAATTGGGAGGGGACATTTCTCCTTTTAATGATGAGAAATTCATATCTGTTACATGCTTTTTGGGTCTTTCGGTCTATCACTAACTGTTGCGCTCTGAGGTCAGTTAAGGAGGTACCTACCCAGCAGCTAATGTGGTTGAAGAGATGATTAAAGGCCCATCTATCTGTTCTCAATCCACAGCCTATGATCAGAATCATGCATTTGAACTTTTAACAGTCCCTTGTCAAAATGCAAATACAAACTGCCTGCAACTTTACAAATGGTTGCATTCCAGAAAGTTCTTTTGTAATCCGTTTGGAACAGCAGTTCCTCATAGAAGAAAGATTGTAAATGGAGTCTGGGTTCCCAGGCCAGACACAGAAAATCTATTTATCTAATAATGTCCTAGAGGATAGGTTTACAACCGGGCCTGGACACCATATAACTTTGTTTCTGTGGGAAAATGTGTTCTGAGTTCTAATTTGGGATTCCAGAGATAAAACCTCCCTACTCTGGGCTCAAGAGGGTGGCAGAGATGGGTTGTGGGGAGGGGTTACTTGCTAAGTCTGCATTTGCCTAGGAGACCGCATCTTGCTGCATCCCTGACACAGAAGCCCATTCTCCAGGGCAATGCTTCTCAGCTGTCCTTGAATGATGGACCAGGCCACTGGCCTGCCTGTGACAGGGACTCAGGCTAACCTTCGGCCAGTTTTGCGACCAATGCACACCTCATAATGGCCTGACTGGGCAGTAGGGCAGCAGCATGGGCTACCGGACATGAGAAACTGGTGCTATGAAGACAAACACCCTGGAAGCATCCCTGCCCGCGACTGGCCCTGCTCTTGTGCCAGTTCTGACCCCTGAGCTTCCGTAGTCAGGGTTCTGGAATCGTCTGGGGAAAGAGTTGTGGAACTGAGTTCTCCATGCCTTAGGATTTCTGAACCCCAGAAATAAAGAATAAACAAAATTCCTGTTTCCTCTGCAGATGAGTGGCATGTTTGAAAGTTGGCTGTACAAACTTGTGTCAGCCCTGCAGACGAGAGAGAAAGATGCCAACGTTGTGGTGGTTGACTGGCTCCCCCTGGCTCACCAGCTTTACAGAGAGGCCGTCAACAACACGCAGGTGGTGGGCCACAGTGTGGCGAGGATGCTTGACTGGCTGCAGGTAACCAGGGAATCTGCTTTCACCGGCAGGGTCTCGAACTCCAAACTGATTAAGAAATTCGGTCAGGCTATGTTATAGTAAACTTTAGGAGTCTGATCCAAATTTTTGGGATTAAGATTTTCACTGAATTAAGTTTTGCTTGAACTGTTTGCAAGCCAGGGTTTTAAGAGAGTTTTGGAATTATTGAGCTAGCTCTGGATTTTTCCTGTTTATTTGCTAGAAGAAAATGTGCTTTAGGGGTTATTACTTGCTGAACTTAGAAACTCAGGCTTTTAGTTTGGTTGGGACCAGGGTGCAATCTTAAATATCTACTGAAGCCAGCTCTTGCCACAGAGGATGGGGAGGGACATGGTTTAAACAAGTGACAGCTCTAGAGTCTTGCTTAAATTAGTACGTGTGGGAACCATATCTAGAGGTTGTAATGAACCTTCTGTAGGCCAAGGACTTGCCTGAGATGAGTGGACTAAACTGGGCAATTCCAACCTGAATTCTTTTTATCCATGGAATTGGGATGAAATCTGGTCAGGATTCAAGGTACCCTTTAGACCTCTGCTGAAAAAAATTTTTTTTTAAGATTTTGATTTATCTACACATATAGAACTGGGGTACAGGCCAGAGGTGCATGGGCCATGAGAGGATTCACCAGAGACAGAGTGGGGAGCAGAACAGGCAGATCAATGAAGTACACTGCTGAGGGGAG